GGGCATGCACTATGGAGAGTTACAGTTGATATATTTGTGCCATTTGCTCTTTTTAAGTCTGTTAAGTTCCCAACCTTTTTCTGGACAGAGCCTGCAAACATTGGGGCCGGAAGCCAGTTCATTACAGTTAGTTCACCATAGAACCTGGTTTTTACAACATCCCCTGCATTCTCTCTGCTTCTGTTGGGTCAACGGCAGCCAGCGGACGGGGTCATGTTGGAGCCGCTCAGTAGATCAGGACCGAGAGATGAGGCAAACACACCTCCTCCCAGCCCCACCGTCCGGGACTGTAGCTTTCCTTATCTGGAGGAAAGGCCAAAGGCCGGATGGAAAACGTCTGTGGCTTCCGCACCGTGGAGGCCACCCTTGTGAAGAGGACTCACTTGAGTGAGGACTGGCGAGCCTCCACTCCAGTCCACAGGTGCTCAGCAAACATGGGTTGTGTGCAAAGCCTCGTGCGGCACCCAGTACTCGGAGTGGCGAACAGAAGTAGACCCAGCCAGAGAGGTCCCGGGCACGGAGGGGCCTCGGGTAACATGAAGCAATTCTCCGACACATCACGGGTAAGAGATCAGTGTTCACGAGGTATGATTCCTCTCTACCATACCACACACACACACACACACACACACACACACACACACCATCTATTTCCTTTGCATTCGGTGTAAATACCTTCTTTATCTGTTTAAGATTTGGTATCTGTTTTGCAGCATTATCTTGGTTTATAAAATGCTAACAAACCACAGATGTCTGAGTTGGTAACATTAAATTCCTATTTTCAGTCCTTTTTGGATCTGCTTTCTCTCTGAAGACTCATTACCTGAAAATTCTACCAGGTAACCTAAAATTTAACTATCAAAACGTGGGAATGTAACGCAGAAAGAACTGAAAGCTATGTTCCTCTGTTTATCAGTGAAGTAGCACGTTCCCTACTTACTTCTGGAGACCAAATCCTCTGAAATCTCTCTCTTTTCTTACACGAAATTGACAACGTGGACCTCCAGCCATGGCTTAGGCAGAGGAAGAGTCTGGCTATTTAACTTTCCATATTAACAAACTTTCACTTGGCAGGGCCTACTGGGGAAGGCAGTTTACCCAGAAAGTTTGCTCTTTGCAACCTTATCGTATCCCTTCACTGGAAGTTTTATTTGAAGGCCATCCTCTGAATTGACGGATCTAGCAGAAGTGCTGATAGATGATCTGTACAATTATAGGATTAAAATATTTCGAAACCTGACTAACTTACCAAAATATGAAATTAGTGGCTAGAAAACGAAATGAAACATAGTTGATATGTTTGTACTCTTTGTACTTCTGAGATGGATTAAGCTCCTAATCTTTCTCTTGGCATTTTCTATTTTCCAGAGCTTGTAAAAATTGAAGCAGAAATAGGTTTATTACATTTGGTTGGTCTTGGAACCTGGTTTTTATAATATTAAAATTTTTTTTAAGTTCAGAGCTTAACCAGAATTTTAAAATATCATTATTTATTTGTTCTCATATATTTAGTCCCATTACATTATACTTTAAGGTTTTAAGTAGATTTAAGTTTTAGACAGAGATATTTAGAAATATTTGTAGATCAATGCAGATTTAAGCAGAGCTCTTACTTTTTTAATAGTGTAACTAAAAACAAAATAAGACTTTAAAAAAGAAAACTGAAAGCTAAATATGAAGGGGCAAATACACCTTACCTTTTTAATTAAAAAAAGAATTTTTTAATATTTACTTATTTAAAAAATTTTTTTTAATGTTTTTTTATTTATTTCTGAGAGAGAGAGAGAGAGAGAGAGAGAGAGAGAGAGAGAGCATGAGCAGGGGAGGGTCAGAGAGAGAGGGAGACACAGAATCTGAAACAGGCTCCAGGCTCTGAGCTGTCAGCACTGAGCCCGACGCAGGGCTGGAACCACGAACCATGAGATCATGACCGAGTCAAAGTCAGATGCTTAACAGACTGAGCCCCCCAGGCGCCCCAATGTTTACTTATTTTTGAGAGAGCGAGAGCGAGGGAGAGAGAGACAGAGCATGAGTGCGGGCGGAGGAGAGAGAGAGGGAGACAGCATCAGAAGCAGGCTCCAGGCTCTGAGCTGTCCGCACAGAGCCCGACACAGGGCTTGAGCTCACCAACTGCGAGGTAATGACTTGCACTGATGTCAGATATTTTACAACGGAGCCACCCAGATGCCCCTGGAAAAATCACTTTAAAATAGGCCTATAGATGAAAAAGATCTCTCTTTTAGTCCTCACTCGATGCAGCCTGGCTCCCCTTCAGCCTACTCTCTGATCTCACATCTCCCATTCTCTGTCTATAAGGTGGGGTTAATAAATCCCATGTGAATTTATTTTTATACAGCATTTCTTGACTAGCACTTAAATCTGATTTCTTGAATGTATCAGAATTCAGCAATACGCTGAAAATAGAAGATCGCGTCTACGTATTTTTATAAGGTAGCGTCACAATTAACACAGGGCTCAGTATATTCTCGTGAGGCCTTGGACAATGCCCGTGAGGGGAAGGATGTCAGCCTGAACGCTTTCATGGCCTAAATAGATAGCGGTTCTTCACGATTTAAGAATTATAGGTATTCCACGGATTTCAAGTTGCTCTTAAACTTTTGTCAATAAACTCACGCTGGTTGGGATCTATTATGAATTGTAGTTTGGACGTTAACATGCCACTCATACAAAATACAGATGGGGATTTTTAATGAGATTCATGAAAACTCTAGTAACTAACATTGACTGAGGGCCGTCAGTGTGCCCTGCGTTACCCTGCAGGCATTTTGTGGGTGCTATACACTTGTTATTACAAAAGTAACACTGCAGGGAACTCCTACTTATCTTCCCACAATACTGAGCTTTCTCTCGAAAGGCTACAATGCACTTACGTTGGACCCCAGCAACCTACCCGCCAGCTTGGCAAACTACGGAATTCTTTAAGGGAGAAGTTACTCTTGCTAACAGCACCATCAGGAATAAAGCTCTTACTGTCCGAACTCAGCTGACGCTGTGGCTAGTGCCTCGGAGGGCACGTGCGGAACCTGGCTAGACAGTTCTGAGCTGCACTGACACCCTGAGGGTCCCTACAACCACAACACAAAACAAAACGGACACACAGCTCGAGTCCACAGAGCAGCACCGGAACTTCAAGGTATAAAGGAACAGAATGCCAGGGCATGAAGATAGCATTCATCCACATGCGGTTTTCTGTAAGGCACCACGCTCTAATTTTGGGAAGGAAGACGACAGAACTATTGAAGAATTCACTCCCCCGTGGCACTGGTTCAACACCTCAGGCTTCTCTGCTGAAAAGCCTCCTTATGTGGCTCTACTGTACGCGTACAGTAGAAAAGAAAGCTGCAGACAAAGGCCGGCAGGCATGATCGGATTCTCTTCTTTCCTACAAAAGAAATCCAACTGGTGGAGAGAAAAATTATCTCCACAATGGAAGATAGAGTAATGACAAAAATAAAGAGGCTTTGTCAAATATAACTCACTATTTTCATCACTTAGCTTTGGCGTTTCAGAGATGAAGGCTTTTTGTTACAACACATCACAGGTAATATTAGAAACCAACTTCACCTGCATGAGCCGCATGGAGGGGACAGCCTGTTGGCATGTGTTCTGCAGCCACAGGCATTTTTGAGAGGGGGAGTGGCAGGGGGCAATTAAAGAGAAAGCACCCAGTGAAGCAAACAATCCTAAGATTTAGAAAATTTGCTACTGAAATTAATGTTAGGTCTCCACATCCAGCCGCATACTCAGCGTCAGGCTTTAACGTCAGGGGTTAAGGTAGCATTTCCCCCCGCAGAAAAAGTCACAGCAAAGGACCCTTCCCCTCCCTTATATTTTAACTTTGCAAAGTCCGTGCTTTGTGTCTGTGGAGTTTCGTAGCCACCATTTGCCTGGGAAAAGATGTGTTTTCTGAGTGGATACACACCAGGAGGGTGGACACCCCGGCTTCACCCTGCCCTGCATGGAAATAGCGGACAACAGCGTGGCGGGGGGGGGGGGGGCTCAACAGGAGAGCAGGGGAGAGGCTGGCCTCCAGAGCATGGAGGGGTTCATAAACCTTACGTCTGAAACACACACACACACACACACACACACACACACACACACACAAATTCATCCTCCTCCGAAGAAAGCAGCTCCAAGAGGTTTGCTCTGATTTGACCCCAATAAAAAGGGAATCGCCCTGGATGGGATACCCTGGTGACCAGGAGACACCCGCGGGCACCGGGCGCGGAGAGAAGGGAGCAGAGGTCAGTACCTGCCGACTCCCGCGCCCTCCAGGCCGCCCGCGGGGATTTTTGCAGGCGTTCTGGGTCCCTCCGCCCCGCACTGCCCACACCCGTCCGTCCCGGCCCAGCCCCGCCCGTGCGAACCCGGCACCACCCCCGGAGTACAGCCCCGCGCGTCGAGGCCCAGCACCCCGCCGACCCAGCAAGGTCGGAACCCAGGCCCACCTGTCCGGACCGAGCACCTTCCGAGCCCATCCCCGCCCGTTAGAACCCAGCCCCCCGCAAACCCAGCATCCTCGCGGTCGGGGACCCTCCACACCCAGCCCGGTCGGAGACTGGCACCCGGCAAGCCCGCCCGGTCGGCCCTGGGCCGCGCCCGAACCCCGCCCCCGCGCGCAGGAGGTGAGGCGGCGCGGCCGCGGAGGCCTGCCGGCGGCCGGCGCAGCAGCACCTAGCGGAGGCCGCCCGAGGTGCGGCGGCGCGGGCGCGCGGGGGCGGGCACGCGGGCGCGGGGGCGCGCACGGCGGGCGGGGCGGGGCGGGGCGCGCGGGCGGCGTGTGCGGGCGCTCGGGCGCACACCGGCCGGCGGGGCTGACGCGGGGCGGGCCGGCGGAGGCGGCCGAGGCGGCCGAGGAGCCCGGGAGCCCGAGGACGCTGCGGAGCCCGCGGGGCGCGGGGCGGCCGGGCGGAGGCGGCCGAGCGCGGGGCGGCCGGGCCCGCGGACCTGTGGGCGCGCGCGGTCCCACCCGGCCCGGCCCCGACCCCCGCGGCGGCGCGGGCCGAGGAGCGCGGCCGGGAGGATGTCGGCGGGCGGCCGCGACGAGGAGCGGCGGAAGCTGGCCGACATCATCCACCACTGGAACGCCAACCGGCTGGACCTGTTCGAGATCAGCCAGCCCACCGAGGTGAGCGGCCTCCCCCTCCCCCCGCCGAGCCCCTCGGGCCGCCCCCCTCTCCGCCGGCGGCGCCCCCGCGGGGACCCCCACCCGGCCGCCGCCGCCCCCGCCCCCGCCCCCGGGGCCCCGCTCTGCGCCCCAGGGCCCGGGTGCGGCGCCGTCACCTGTGCCGCGGGGGCCGGGGGGTCGCGGGCCCGGCGGGGAGCCGCGGGCGCGGTCGCGGTGCGGGCCGGGGGTTGGGGGCGGGGCCGGGGGCGGGGTCGGCGGGCCGAACGCGGGGGGTCGCGGGCTGGGCGCCGGGGTCGCGGGCTGGGCGGGGGTCGCGGGCCCGGAGGCCCCGCGGCGGGAGGCGGGCGTGACTTTACCGCGTTTTCCCCGGCCTGCGGCGCGGGGTCCGCGGCGCTCCGGGCTGTGGGTAACGCGGACCTTTGTCACCCGGGCGAGCATGTGACCGGCGGTGTTTTGCTCCAGTGGGTTTGCAAACTTGGGGGCCGCCAGCCGCGGGAGTAGAGTAAATACCGGGAAAGTTCGCGTCGTGCGCGTTTGCTGATAACGCGGCCCGGAATTGAACTCCCTTGGAAAGATAGGTTTTCTCGCGTTCGTCGCCGGCCGCCCAGGTTGGAGCCCGCGCGCCCCTCCCCCCGCGGGCCGGCGCGGGCGTCCGCGGTGACCCGGCGGGGCGGGCGCGGGGCGGGGCGGGCGGGGGCGCTCGGCGGCCCGCGGGCCTCGCCGGGGGGCGCCCAGCCCTGGGCGTGCTCCCGGGAGAGGAGGAAATCGCGCCCGCTCCTGGCCTCGGACAATGGCAGCTGTTTGGGGCCGAGCGGCCGCGAGGCTTTCCGGGGCTTTGACGGGCTGGGCGCGAGGGTCGAGTGCGTCCGGGTGGGGGCGGCGCTCGCGGGCGAGGGCGGACCCCGGGGCGCGCTGCACCTTGCGCCCGACGCCCGCCCTCGGGGGGACTGCTCCCGGCGCCGGGTTTTGATTGGCTCCAGCAGCCACTTCGGAGTCGGCGTTACTCGCTCACACGCCGGCCTCCGGGCACCCATCGTGTCGGCAGATTTGAACATTGTCCCGAACCTTCTCTATTATCGTTAGCCCCCCGGCCGCACGTGTGAGTACGCTGACGTTTACGTGTCCAAACCCCCGGCCCTGTCTGGGTGGAAGGGTTCCGTCCGCCCTGGTGGGCACAGCCGTTCATCTCAGTACTCGGTTGAACGTGAATACCCGTTATTAGGCTTAGGATGCCCGTTCGGCACCAAGTGCCTCCTGATGCGCGGCCCCTCCTCCCAGATGACTTGCAGTTAGTCCTGGGGAGAGACTGGCGAGGGCACGTGTGTTCATTCAGAGTCTTCTGAAAGGTGATGGGCAGTCCTTTGACTTTTAGTACGATGTGGTCTTTCGGAACAATGGATTCATTTTTCTGCTCACTGGTTAAAAAAAATTCGGATGTAAAATATTATCTTGGTACATGGTTGTTTTGTTTTTCTGTTTGAATGAGTCTATTTATAATTGTTTTTTGAGAGATTTCCCAAGTCTGGTTGAGAAGAGGAATGTTTTTTCAATTTAGTAATAAATAATTCAGTTTACTTTTTGGGATTTTGAATTGAGTTGGCATTTTTAAAAATCTAAATCAGAAACAGATTATAGTTAATTGGTTTCAAAAAATTCCATTTTTAAGCGCTCGTTTGAAACTTCTGTATTTTCTTAGAGATATCAGTGGCTATTAAGACTGGCCTGTCATTTTGAGAGCCTCTTACATGCTTACTGTGCAGGTGAAAAGTTCCTGTGTAAGTGTCTCCAAGCAAATTTGAAGGACTGTTTTGGAACGTGGTTATGATTTTCATTTAGTAGTTTTTCCTCCCCACATATACTTGATCTCTTTTTAGAAATGATTCTCCAGAATTATACGGGAAAGCTTTTCATACTGAAGTAAATTGGCTTTTAAAAACGTCTGTGTGTTATGTATTTTAGTTTTTTCATTCTCCAGAACATTGTTTACACTTAATATTATGCTTTCTGGAGAATCTTTGCATACTAGTAAATTTATCCTGATCTTGGAAGTTGAGTTTCACCTTTAAGATGTGTTTTTCATCATGATGTAGGTGAACCTCCACATTAGTAATTCTCCAAACCAGTATTTCACGGCTCACGGGTTCACGTTGCTGTACCCAAACTCATGTCTGAAAGTTTGTACCGTGTAATGGTGAATTTTTACTCTATTTGGCCATCACAGATTATTTTTCTTAGTTTTCTACAAGAGTGTAAGCGTGATCCAGGCCTTTGTTATTTTCAATAAATGTTCAGCAAATTTACTACAGAATTTGATTTGTAAGGATGCAATTTAAGCCTTATATTTAAATACTTGGATAATCTTTTTATGTATGCATATGAGAGTATAGTTGTGTTTTGTTTTCTTTTGTTTGCTTTTTTTGGGGAGGAGGGTACAGTGATCAGTATCTGTTATCACATTTTATAACTGTGTTAATCATCTGTGATTGGTGGTTTCAGGCAGTCTTGATACTCACTGATAATTCTGTGGCTTCTATGTGTGGTAAGATGATAAACTTGGCTTTTAGGATTACATTACATTTTAAGGAAATCTGGGTATGTTCTAAAATCAACCTGGTTAATAAGTTTCCTTTTTTCCTTCAGATTCACATTGATGTGTAAAAGGAAAGCTTCCAAAGAAAAAGCAGGTTATATCTTATCATTGCTCATTGTTCAACCCCTTCCTCACTCCGGCCCTAGATTCTTTTGGAATTTTAAAATGAGAGTTGATCTGAACTTAACGTTGATATTTTATCACTAGGAGATTGGTGTTACGTTAAATTAAGGGTCTCGATTACTGTGGAAAACTATGGCTCCTGATAAAATCTTAAAGCTTTTGAGCCCTGTTCTTTTCTTAATATTAAGGCTTTATTTCATTAAGGGGTTTATTAATTATTATGGTAGAACGCTTGTGCCTCCGCAGGAGAGGCCTTCTCTGGCTACCCAGAGGTCTCCCTCTGGTTTTTGGCCATTCTGTCGTCTAACTCACCCCAGGCTTGTCATTATAGCCGTTGGTTTGTGTCTTTCTCTCCCTGATTACATGAAAGCAAGAGCTTAGAAGTTTACTCTTGTGGAAGAACAATGATGAATATGGCTTCCTTTCCGTAAACCTTTATTCTTGACCAAACGTAGGGCACATGCGTTTTAAAAATTGAGTGAAATTATCTGTTAGGGCGTTGACAATTTATGTTTCCATGTGTTTCTCTTTTGCATAAAGGTTACACCTAAATGCAAGCTAGGCTGTTGACCATTTTACTTCATGAGATAGTTCTTGAAGTCAGTTTTTTAAAACTAATTTATTGAGTTCATTGTCTTCTTTTTGCCCTGATGGGGAAAAATAACCTAGACACCCACATGTGCTTTATTGAAGGTGAATCTGTTATACTTTAATATTCTGGTGCCTCTGGAGAAGCAATGCGGTGATTCACGTCACCCCGAGGTGTGGGTAAGGAGCAACTGCTGGCTCGTCAGCAGAGGTGGAGGAGGAAGTAGTAAGTTGCATAATTTACAGGCCCGGCTGTTCCAGACTAGCACTTAGGTTGTCCCCTGCTTCATCATACCCTGCTCTATATTTGAGACTTTGGAAAACAACTGTTGGGCTATTGCGCATTGATACTTCAGAAGATCTCTTTTTTTGGTGACTAATATATAATGATACAGGCAGCTGCCAATGATGTGTTTGTAGTATTTATAGGCATCTCTGCCTTTTTTTTTTTTTTTTTTTTGACCGGGCACTCAGTGGTGGTTGTAACCTTGTTTTTTTAAAACTTTTGTTTCCTGTAATAACTGGTTAAGCTTTCTGTCTGTATGGGTGTGAGCCGGTCAGCCTGAGGTGAATCCCGCGTCTAACCTTGCCTCACGTCTTAAATTGAAACTGCATCCACACCAGCTTCAGTTTGCTCTCCTTTTGCCAATGAAAACAAATTTTAAGTCCTGCATTTTATAGAGTTAATGGCAGGTAAATGTTGTAACTGGTCTTTTCTAGAGCTGTCGAGTTTTTGTTGTGGTGAGTAGCATAGCATAGAAGCGGTTCTTGCATAATCTTAAGGAGTCAGAGATACGTAAGATCAGGGTACGTCTCAAGTTGGGGGGAAGCTTCAGAAAAGAAGGGTCGGTGGTCTGTCGTTAAGGATTTAATCGAGCAGGTGTGTGCAGAACATTCTTACTAGGTGTTGCTATTCTGGTGGCCTGGGTTCATTTGTTTATAAACAGTGTTACCAGACTTGAACTTCCGTGTAATGTCAGCAAATGGGAACATATAATAATAGCAAGTATTGTGATGTAAATCTGTTTTCCTTCGTTATAAATGAAGTGGGTATGAATACCACTTATGGAACATAAAGCTGAGCTGATCTCTGAATTGAGAATGATTTTCAGGTCAGGTAAATTGTGTTGATTTCTGTTGAGAAGTTCGCTGTTTTCCTGGCTGGTTATGTTTAGGATATAATCATTCACCTTGAAGACGCCTAGGAGAGCGATGAAAATTTGATCTGCATTTACACTGGAGTTAGATACTACGCAGTTGCGCCAAATCTCCCAGACCCATTAGCCGGTTCAGGGTGTGGCCCCCCAATCCCCGTCTGATAGCTGACGCGGGAGGGCTGGCAGGGCCTGAGCCCATCGGTGGGCTTCTGGTTAGTGTCCCCATGTGTGTGAGTCACGGCAGGTGCGGGCACGCTGTCAGCGCTGGACCCTCTGCGCCTTGGCTGTGAATGGACGGAAGCTTTTCCCAACATTTCCAGCCAGTCCTGCCTCAGGGGGACTCCGGCAGCCAGAGCGGGCCAGGGGCTTTGTCTGCGCGGCTCAGTGTCTGCTTGAGGCTTGGTTCTGGCAACAATACAAATGTGAACCTTCACGCAGCATTTTGGCGTATGTGATTGACCCAGTTGTGTTATAATTTAACTTAGAAAGTAAATGTACTGGTTAAGGTGAAACAGCCCATGGAGAAAATCTCCTCCTGATAT